CCATACTGTCACACACACACATACCTGCACACAACACAAAAACAAATATATGTACATGCATACATCTCTCACTATCTCTCTCATTCTCTCCCCTATTTGTATTTTTCCTCCGGTTTATTCACTCTCTCCATTTGTTCTTTGTCTCCCTCATTTCTCTGCCTCTGACGCTGTGTGATGAGAACCAGGGCGCTTCCACCTTCCCTGTTTGTGTGTGCTTGTGTGTGTGTGAAAGTGATTCCGCTCGGGCGGGCCGCCGCCAGGAGAGCCGTCACCACGGGCTTGGACAACCAGGAGCCTACCTCGTTTATTCGGTAAATTTAGCTAAAGATTTTTTTCTGTGGAGACATGTGTTAGGAGAATGTTCTTGTGGTTCCGTGTTGCTCCTGCCTCGCTTGGGCGGTTACCTTAATTCTTTATAGTATTGTTATTTGAATATTTTTTGGTGTTTTTGTGTATTTTCCGTTTTTCATAAAAAGAGAGGAAGGGAGGGATAGGGTCGTTAGTAATGTTGACACGACACAAGGCAGCCTCAAAAGAATAAAAGAGGTGGATAGGAGAATAGTGAGCACATGGATAGGATGAAGGATGTGACCCACATGGGTTGATCAGGTATAAACTGACGCGGAAACTGACAGTTGATTGAGGAAGTAAAGGAAGTGATATGTGGGCACTTGTTGTTGTTGTTTTAGATTCAGCTTCTGGAACAAAATTTCCATGTAGCACGGGCTATGGTGATCCCGCAAGTGGAGGCTCTTTGGAGCCATTATCAGTATCAATAGCTGATACTGGAGATGTGGGGAGATGGGGAGTTGTTGTTATTGTTGTTGTAGATTCAGCTACTGGGAACAAAAAGTTCCAAGTAGCACGGGCTATGGTGAGCCCGTAGTGGACTTACCTGGCACAGGAGCGGGGCAAGTAGCACGGGCTATGGTGAGCCCGCAGTGGACTTATCTGCCACAGGAGCGGGGCAAGTAGCACGGGCTATGGTGAGCCCGTAGTGGACTTACCTGGCACAGGAGCGGGGCAAGTAGCACGGGCTATGGTGAGCCCGTAGTGGACTTACCTGGCACAGGAGCGGGGCAAGTAGCACGGGCTATGGTGAGCCCGCAGTGGACTTATCTGCCACAGGAGCGGTGCCGGATGGGGAGTGGAAGGGGTGAAATATATAGATGGGGTGGGGGGTGAGATGCTTGAATTGGAGACGGGTTGTGATTTACAAGTAGAAAGATGCGTAACATGTGAGCAAGTGTGGAGGTGTGGCTCACCAGGAAGGCCAGCCAGCCTCACAGTAGGCTCCAGGGATTACTTAGGAGAGCCAGCAGGAGGTGCGGAAGTCTGGAACCTCTTGAGCCACCTCCGGAACGACGGGGCGCCTCGCTAAGACTCCTTAATGGGCTCTTCCGTTACTACGGCTTATCTTTAAAACATTGATAACGGAGTTCCGTTGTTTTTGTCTTGAGAGGAAAAACATATCCAGTATTCTGCTATCTTGACTTAGGCCAGATTTGTTGTATATGTATTTTAGTACATGTAGCTGATGAGGCCTCTGGCAGCCCCTTGTGTTGGTGGTCTTGACTACTACCACCGTGGCGGCCACCACACTACCACCGTGGCGGCCACCACACTACCACCGTGGCGGCCACCACACTACCACAGTGGCGGCCACCACACTACCACAGTGGCGGCCACCACACTACCACCGTGGAGGCCACCACAGTAGCCGCCTAATACCATCAAAAGACATGAATCCATGTCATATATATATATATATATATATATATATATATATATATATATATATATATATATATATATATATATATATATATATATATATATATATATATAATATATATATAATATACATAATATACATAAACGAGTTCCACACAACGCAATGTTATCATTAACAATGTTTGTAATTGCTTGTCAGTCATCCTGGACTACAGGACCAACCATTACCCAGAAGTAAAATACGGTATCACTATCACGTCTATAATTAGGGAGGCTTAGAGGCTCTCAGCGGTGGCATTATAGGTACTCTTAAGAGACTAACACCCCTACCCTTGAGAGAGAAGAGGGAGGAACCCCCTGCTGGGGAGGTACCTCACACCAGGCCCCCGGTCTTATGCCTCATTGGGCCCGGGTTTTTAACTCGTCTACCCATGGCTACTGACGCCGCTGCAGCTCTTGTCGGCGGTCTACCTGCGGATCAGAGGCGGCAGAACTCACACCTGCCTTGAGGTAATGAGAAGCCCGCCAGGGAGGCGGCCCAAGCCGGAAATGGTGACACTAGCGCGGGTAGTTATGTGTGGTGAGGCGAGGTGATGATGAGTCCTAGAGAGAGAGAGAGAGAGAGAGAGAGAGAGAGAGAGAGAGAGAGAGAGAGAGAGAGAGAGAGAGAGAGAGAGACAGGGGAAGAAAGGGGGTGTAGAGGCAGGTTGATGGACAGGAAGGGAGAGGGAGGATGATAAAAGAGAGAGGGTACAGAGGTGGTGGAGACGCAGGAAGGCGAGAACCAAATGCATGAAAATGGAAGGGATGTGAAAAAGGGAAAGATTGCGAGTGCCGAGATGAAAGAGGAGCGAGAAAGAGACGGGAGTGGATGAGAGAGAGAGCAGATTATGAGGGGCCAGTGAGAGTTGAATCAATGATCCACAGGGAATGGAATTTTTAGCGAGCTAGCGAACCGTCAAAAGAACTCCTCTCAAGACTCGACTACATAAACTTACTCTCAGAGACGCCTTTAAAAAAAAGTTCCTTCCCTGTTTGCTTATGTTATCGTATTGACCCAAGTATTTTAGTAATAATAGTAATACTATTAGAAAATCAATTTTATCAATGAGGGGGTACTGAGCAAATTCACAAGAGCCTTGATAAGGGATTCGATCCTATGCACTCGATGTTCTAGGCACATAGGGATGAGGGACTATGTATTGAGGGACTCGTATCTCGACTTGGGTCAGGAAATGTATATGTTTATCTCTCAGAATGTTTGGTAATATGTTTATTGTTTGTGATGTTTATCTATGTATGTATTAACACGATGTACTGAACGGGGTGAGAATAGATTGAGCTACCTCATCCCTTTGTGTGTATTTTACCTCAATAAACTTATTTCAATTTCAATTTCAATTTCGACTTCGGTATTCCCAAGCCGCTGGGCATGGTAAGCTCTGCGGTTTGGGAGTGCTCGTGTGGAGGGTTCGAATCCCCTCATACCTCCAATTGATTTTCTCAGTGATATATAACGTTAGTAATGGAGAAACTTGCTACACTTCCGTAGTGCTTGTAGCAAGGTGAATGAATGACCCAATACTAGTGTAAATGTTATATTAAACAAAATTTTCGGATAAAATGTGCATCCTCTATCAAGGTTTTGTTAAAAATGTTCTGAAAAGAACACTGAGAACATTGTTTAACAGCAAGTTAATATTACATTTATACATACATTGGGTTTCTCATTCAATATTAGTAATAATATTATTGTAACGTTCATAATAGTAGTAGTAATAATACTATTAATACTAATACTACTACGAATACAACTACTACTAATATTAATAATGATAATACTAATAACAATAACTCAAATAGTGTATTAAACTATAGAAGGCAGTGGTATCAATATTACTGGCTAACACAAATCAATATATATATATATATATATATATATATATATATATATATATATATATATATATATATATATATATATATATATATATATATATTTTGAGGCTTTATTCATCAATGATTTATACAAAGCATTATAGCTGTGGCTTGAGTCAATAGGTTATCTTGAAATGATTTCGGGGCTTAGCATCCCAACAACACCTGGTCCTCGACCAGGCCTCCTTTTTGTTAACACACCCCCAAGAAGGAGCTGTCTAACTCCCAGGTGCCTATTTACTGCTAGGTGAACAAGGGCATCAGCTTGAAAGAAACTCTGCTTATTTGTTTCCGCCTCCACCGGGGATCGAACCCGGAACCTCAGGACTACGAATCCCAAGCGCTGTCCACTCAGCTGTCAGGCCCCATAGTCTTAAAGCACTTACGGGTTACTAATAACATTGAGACTGGTAAAACACATGGCATGAAATTATAATGATGCATACAGTTTAATACATAAACTAATTATACCATGAGGTTATAGAAATGTGCACAGCCTGTGCATGTAACATAAGGGAGCCGGTCGGCCGAGCGGACAGCACGCTGGACTTGTGGTCCCGGATCGACCCCCCGGGGTCGATCCCGGGCGCCGGCGAGAAACAATGGGCAGAGTTTCTTTCACCCTATGCCCCTGTTACCTACCAGTAAAATAGGTACCTGGGTGTTAGTCAGCTGTCACGGGCTGCTTCCTGGGGGTGGAGGCCTGGTCGAGGACCGGGCCGCGGGGACACTAAAAAAGCCCCGAAATCATCTCAAGATAACATCAGTAGATTCAGGATGTAGTCTATATCAGTCATCACTCTGAACACCCAGCTCCTGTAACATAGATCTGATTTCATCAGGATTTAAAATCCGTAAGGTAATTATGAGGAGAAAGCACTAAGCCAGTATGACTATATATATTAAAATGCGTAATAGCAAGTCATGTCTTTGTGAGAGTAATGCCTTAATATGTGCAAGTACAGTACTTAAGTGTTGGTCTCCCTGCCTTCTCTACTCTCCTAGTGTTATATTCTATCCAGGAGGATCTTTACAAATACACAAATAAAACTACGCTATTTCAAAATTTTGATTAATAATAATTATTATAATCCTCATCATCATCATCATCATTATGATTATCATTGTTTTTCTGTATTTCAACCTCTCTTGACCCCCTTACCTTTCCACTCAAAGTTATGTCTATTATTCCATTTCATTCACAATGGAAGTATAACTAACCAGTTTAGCAGTGGAAATATTTCTAAGGTAATGTTTAGCGTCCTTCCTCCTTCAATGTCCTCTCCCTTTGCACCATAATAATGCAGATTTTGGACTAAATTTTGCAGTTCTACATTTTGCAGGAATGTGGTGATGACTCGGGGGTCTGAGGAGCAGAAGATCGACCACCAGATCGCCCTCCCAAACATTCGTAATTACCCCGACAATTCAGCGCCGATGGAATCCGAAAACCACAAGGACGATGACGATGACGACGACGAGCGGCTAGACGTGGTGGGCACGACGGACTCCCACAGCGACGCGCCGCACGGTTAGTAGCTTACTTCGTCAGGTACAACTTCAAGGGCAAACTTGATATCTTCATCACTTGACTAGTTTGTGATATCTAGATGTACATTGGGGGGTCCATGTATGATCTTCCGTAGGGGGCAGTGACATTGACATCAGAAACAGTGATGTCAGAGACAGAGATATAATTGATCCGTTTATTCTGACAGAGCTGATGGACTCGGACGTGTCCGGCGAGGAGACGAACAACAACGCCGCCGATGACTCTGGTCGAGACTCGGTCAAGCGGAAGAGTGATCTAGATTCCGACATGGACGACCCCGGGTCGCTGGCGGCGTTAAAAAAGGCGGCGCCGGAGAAGGACGAGCCCTCCAGTTCGAGCGGCGCGGACCCCACGCCCAACATCAGCGTGGGTCCGCCCTTCCAGCCCCCGCACCTGCTGCCCTACCTCTACCACCACGGTCTCTACCCGACCGCTCAGGGTCTAGCGGGGCTGCCGGGCCTCATGCTACCCGGCTCTGGTGCGGGTCTGGGCCCTCACGGCCTGCAGCTGCCTTTACTGGGGTCTGGAGCGGGCCCACATCACGGCTCGTCTCCGCTGTCTCCGCCCACATCTCTACCCGTGGCCCACAACCTCCTGCTGGCCCACAACCTACTGGCGGGTGCGGGCCATCACCTGCTGGGGTCCCACGCCTACCAGGGTCTGGCGGGTCTGACTGTGTCTTCTGCGGGCGGCAGCGGCTCCCTCAGCGCAGCACCGCCCACCTCCTCCTCACCGGCTGCGCCCTCACCTCTCCTCCCGGATCGGCTGAAGCCGCCTCGCTTCACCCCCTACCTGCCCTCCTCCACCGCCGCCTCCCTCTCCTCCATGTTGTCGTCGTCGTTGTCCTCGTCGTTGTCCTCGTCATGCCTCACGCCCACACTCTCCTCCTCCTTGCTAGGCGAAACTCCGCTGGGTGGATCCTCAGCATTCCAGGCGGTGAGTCCCAAAGCGGCGTCGCGTCTGGAAGAGGGCGTGCGCCGCTCCGCCGCCCACGCCGCCTCCGTCGCCCACGCCGCCTCCGTCGCTTCTGAACTCAAGTCGATCGAGAAAATGGTGAATGGCTTAGACCGTCGTCCTGACTTATCAGATTCACTTAAAATGTCCGACAAATGAGGGCGGGCCCCCAGGGCCGCTTCTGGTCACCTGCACACCCACCTGGTGGCCGTCCATGCCCTTAGTGGCGGCTCCGTCTGCTCCTCGAACCCACTTTAGCCCCTAATTTCTGCGCCGGTTCGGGACCTGGGGGAAAACACACCCTCAGGGTGCCTGCCGGTACTCCAGTGAACAATAGAAGCGGACGGGAGCCCGGACGACCCCCAGGTCAAGCTCAGGGTAACCTAGATGAGCGTCAGCAGAGTCCCAGGGTCTGCTCCTGGGCTGGCCACTGGGGCGGCCCTCCCTGCTTATCGCTACCAGTGCAAATAAAGACACGGGACACCTCTAAGGCGTGCACAAAAACCCAGTTCCGCGCCGCGTCAACAGTGTGTGTCGTATATTGCACGTGTATATAGTCCGTAAAACTACTTGTTAGTAGAGCGTATACCAAAGAGCGGACCGACAGCAGCTGTTTTGCGGGTGCGTGCGTGTGCGTGTGTGTGCGTGTGCGTGTGTGAGTGTGTATGTGTACCATGGTTCAGTTGTGAGTACAGTGTCGTGTGTACAGATGGATTAGAACATAGAGACATGGCAGCGCTCAGTTGAGAACAAAAATGACTTTTAGAAACATTTTCAAATCCACGTTAAGGGTTGATCAATGTTTAACCCTCTGAGTGTTGGTGTGACGGTGGTCTTCCTAGACATTGAAAATGCCGTAAACGGAGACCAGTTCTCTCCCAGGAGTGACTAGCTCTGCGGAAGACGAGAGTGTGTGTGTGCCCGGAGTCTCCAGTGCGCACCTGACCGGGCGAGATGCGTAAAAGAGGAACTAGCTGGGCTCTCGACTGATGCCGAGAAGCGTGTGTGTAACCTGAGCCCGTCTTACCTCATAGCCGCTACCTGACGGCCGGTGGCACGCAGGAGTAGCGGCCTCTCGAGGAATTCGTGAACTAACCGTTATTAAATAAAAAACAAAAATCCAGTGAACTCTACTTAAGGTAGTTTTGCCAGTGCGCCGCTATAAGGCACTGGCTCGACCCCAGTGGCGGGGTGTAATGGAAATATTATGGTGCTTTGTTTTCTCTGGGTGTCTTCTTGTTTTCAGTTTAATAAACATGCCTACAATGACCTGAAACAATACCTATAATGAATATCTTGAGTATTTGAAGGAGTGAAGAAGGTACGAGAGTGGAGAGATGCCTGGCGTCCTCACAATGTCCCACAACCCTCCTCCAAGATGCCTGGGATCGTCTCAAGCACAAGCTGTTGTTTTTTTTATATTTTTTTTAGTTTTTTACAAGATGGCAGGAAAGTGATTGTTTATGGTATATGAATCCTTCAATATATGTCGTACCTAATAGCCAGAACTGCTTACTTGGCTTAGTAAGCAAGGCCCGATTTGTCTAACAGGCAGAACGATTTTCGTTATCTTCAAATACATGTATTTCCTTTCAAATTGGCTCTCTAATAGCAATATTAATATATTAGAAACATGAATTACTGACAATTATTTTAGATTAAGTAAGGTTAGCATAGGTTAGGTTTGACCAAATTTCTGTTAGTTTTGACTTAAAGTAAAAATAAAAATAACTCAAATCATATATAATGTAATGGAAAGCTTTGTCAGTTCATGAAAACACTTTGAGAAATATAATATTATAGGAAAATTCGCCTTGTTAGGCAAATTGGCTTATTAGGTACAACACACACACACACACACACACACATATATATATATATATATATCTCACACACACACACACACACATATATATATATATATATATATATATATATATATATATATATATATATATATATATATATATATATATATGTGTGTGTGTGTGTGATATATATATATATATATATATATATATATATATATATATATATATATATATATATATATATATATATATATATATATATATATATATATATATATATATATATATATTTTGGCCTATTGGAAGCCGCTCACCCATGTCATTTTTGTTTCCCCACATCAGTTGTTTACATTTCCTAAATTTTAGGTAGGCCTAGGTGGGCCTAGTTCACCTGTCTGACAGGTGGGCCCAGGTCGGCCTTGTTCACCTTCATCACGCTACTGTCGGGAGCACCCGGTCTTCCCACAAGAAAAATTTAAATGTTTTAAGTTTTCAGACTTGAATGACAGCTCTCATAATAATATGAATATGGTAACATTGAATATGTTTTTGAAACAAATATCACATGGGTGGCGGACTTGGATATATATATATATATATATATATATATATATATATATATATATATATATATATATATATATATATATATATAATATATATATAATAACTCACGATCGGACTATTAAACCTAGTAAGCTAGAACTATTTTGCCTAACCATCAGAGCGATTATGTATATTCTCAAATGTTTCTTTCAAAATTAGTTCACCTTAAATTTCATAATCCTATTATATTGACTTCATGAATTACTAACTTAGACCTAATTTTTACCTATATTAGTCAATATTGAGGAATAATCTGCGTATTTTGGTTACGACTGTTAGCTAAGTAAATATTGGTTAAAAAAATTAATTATATAAAACATGTCAACACACATATTAAAACCTTAACAAATGTTTAGTTAAATTCTGCATGTTAGGCAACTCTTGCTATTAGGTCCGATATATATATATATATATATATATATATATATATATATATATATATATATATATATATATATATATATATATATATATATATAAAATATAAATCAAATGGTCATTGTCATGTAGGCCTATGATCTTGAACAACAGCTTGACCCTGAATGTTGGGGAGAAGTGATCCACCTCGTAGAGGCTCAGTGGCTCTCAAGACAGATTCACAACCAAACATAATATTCTCTCAAAGTGAAAGAATCGAGTGTGAGTTTTCCCTACCAGGGTATTTCCCCAGATAATTTGTATTCCTTGGCGCCGCCTGTACCGTAACCCTCGCATTACTGTAATGTTCTCTCCTGTGTGTGTGTCTGACCTTCCCAGCGCTCTGGTGATAAGGTGGCAGCACCCCCCTGCCTCCCCAACCATTTTATCCCACTTCATAATACTCCATGCAAACCCCCCTTTTAGTTCCGGCTCTTTGATAACCCTAAGGCACTACATAAATGTCATTGTATCAGTGCCTGAGTTTGGTTCGAACCCCAAATAAAATGCAATCCTTGATAACCCCTATAAAACTTCACCAAATTTTTTCTGTCCTCATCAACAATTCGAGCCTTCCGTGCTGTTTCAGGCTCAAACTAGAGATTTTATTACGCATTACTAAACTTTCATTCAACATGAAACAAGACATTGCAATGTTATACCCAGTTTTACGTGCCTAGTCCTCGCCAGCTCAGGCTTGGCTCATCTGCCAGTCTTGGACATGACTGAGACGAGCGTTGCATTAAACTGTTTCCACAGTAACTGTTTCGCCTGGAGGCGGCAGTTAGGAAGTGGAGATTGACTAACCCGAGTTGACATATCACGGATACACACTCATTCCAAAATTACGTCCCTCGATTACCGCTTAAAAGGTCAGTCATATATAAATACTGATAATTCAGATAACTCAATACTAACCCAATTCCTTTATATCGCAGGCGATGAGTCACAATAACGTGGCTAAAGTATGTTGACCAGACCACACACTAGAAGGTGAAGGGACGACGACGTTTCGGTCCGTCTTGGACCATTCTCAAGTCGATTGTGTCGACTTGAGAATGGTCCAGGACGGACCAAAACGTCGTCGTCCCTTCACAATCCTTTATATCCCCTTCTCCACGGCTACTTGTGTATGTTGAAAGATAGAAAGTCTAATGATTGACTGATAGTCCGTATTCCTATAATTTGCATATGGGTTGTGAGCCATACAATTTTTTATCCTAATCTTTTAATTTTACAATAGGTATTTTGGCCCTTTCATAATACTGTTGGTTCCCTGAGAGTTATTATTTACTTGTTATCTGTGGGAGTCATACTCCTGCATTTTTCCTGTAAAGGAAGGTTGAACGTATCCCTTTTTTCCGTCCCGATATTACGTTGTGTGGGTGCTGCCTTCTGTCCACCAAGGCACCAGCTAGTAGCCCGTGTCCAGTTGTAGCTAAGTTATCGAAGGTAAATACAAAATCCTGTTTTGAGCATCGATGCATTTATTGGTTAAAGCGTTCCTGGTGCCTGTCTTAACTCTCCACTTGCTGGCTATTACTTAATTTGTGAATTTTGGTAATTTACGAACTGGGTGAATAATCAGTAGCCAAAATGCAGCAACTGCGGCTTCCAGAAAACTGTTTTACAGAGGAATTTGTCTATTTACCGCCGAGAGCCTGGCTTCCCTGTGGTAACTTGGTTTGTTCGAACAAGAATGTCTAACCATGACCGGGGTCTTCATACTATTTTCTGTATAATTATGACACATTTTCTTGATTAACATTGCTATTTAATTTGTTATTATGTACTACTTCCCACAGCTCTTACGTCATCCACACGTCATCATCAAAATACACAGCTCGTGCCCTTAGGAATCACTTACGTCGACGAGAAGAAACATCTACCTTTCTGATTCATGACCTCATCTCATACCATGTATATTCATCCTCATCACCTCATGTTTCCCATCACCTGGTCATGACGTGTTTCTCAGTGGATAGCGATGTTATGCCCGCCAGCGTTCACACGTTGGCTCCTGGTAGGAGAAAACTATAAACGTTGTTTCAAAGACAATACAAAGCTTCGACCTGCTTCTAGTCTCGTCTTAATATTCACGAAATTATCCTTTATCTCAAAAATTAATATTGTCATTGACGGAAGTGAGTCAGTTTGTATGTCCGAAACTAGTAGCCTCGAACGAAATTTGTTATGAAGACATTAAATGTTGGAAAACTTTGAAACTAGCGTCGTTATCTTGCTCGGAGCCGGCGTCTCGCGTCCCGTAACGACGATGCCCTTGAGCATCTTCAAGAATAGAAATTGATAATATTAATTAATAGTTATGTGTATTTATTTGGTTATTCTGATGTAAATAATAATTATGTTCTGGTCATGTCTGTACTGTATGAAAATATACTCTTTTTGAAGAAATCTCTTAGTTTTTTATATGAACCTTCAACTGAGGGTAATGAATACATTTATGTGCCATACCATCAACAATGAATGATAAAACATGTCTTAAAATGTAACTATTCTTGCTTAATTGGTGCAAAATTTAATTTACTTTTGAATGTTGCAAAATATATATTTGCCCACTTGAATACACCAGTAGCAGAATCAAAGGTTTTATTCGTAACATCTTGTACAAATTAAATAAATTAAATGAAACTTCAGATTGTTTTCTCCCTAAGAATTTATACCCAATTTTTATGAAAATTGCCCAATAATTTGCAAAATTTTACTAGGTTTCTGATTTGACCTTAGCAACAACAGTGAGACATTAAAGGACCGATATGTTTCACCCAACGTAGAGGTAAAGTATTGTGTAGAAAGCTCTAAGCCATATGACCGTGCTGTATTTGGAAGGGATACGAGGACAGAAAATTAAGTCTCCAACAAAGTCCATCGGAGATCGAACGCCGACCCTGCAACAAGCCTGACATAAAGAAACTGGATTTACCTCCTAACAAAGAAGCTGAAGATTATTACACTAAATATTACAATATTACACAAAAGTAAACTAGTACAAAAAACTACACATTATTTTTTATGTAAACTTCATTGTTGACTTATATATTAATCAAACTACGTCCTTTACTATTTATGCATAGAAATCAAACTATATTTCAATACTATTTGTGAAGAGAAATACAGCGTGCTGATGTAGGATACTGGCTGTTGTTGTTGTTTAAGATTCGCTGCTTGGAACAAAAAGTTCCAAGTAGCACAGGCTATGGTGAGCCCGTAGTGGGATACTGGCACCAGTGTTAAACAGTCAGCATACGTGCATGCAAACACCACCACTCCTTGGCTTGCCCTGAAGATTACCAACAACCCACAACTCAGGTTAGCAGAGACAGGTATTCAAGTGATACAATGACAAAGGTAATGTTTCCTTCAGCGTATTGGACGACTCGGGTACTAGCAATAGACAGGATTGGATGAATGATAGCCGTTCCATCACTGTTCGTCCCTGTGCACCACTGGTTAATCGTCCCTGTGCACCACTGGTTAATCGTCCCTGTGCACCAATGATTATTCGTCCCTGTGCACCAATGGTTAATCGTCCCTGTGCACCAATGATTATTCGTCCCTGTGCACCAATGATTAATCGTCCCTGTGCACCAATGGTTAATCGTCCCTGTGCACCAATGGTTAATCGTCCCTGTGCACCAATGGTTAATTGTCCCTGTGCACCAATGATTATTCGTCCCTGTGCACCAATGATTATTCGTCCCTGTGCACCAATGATTATTCGTCCCTGTACACCAACAATTATTCGTCCCTGTGCACCAATGGTTAATCGTCCCTGTGCACAAATGATTATTCGTCCCTGTGCACCAATGATTTATTCCCCCCTGTGCACCAATGATTTATTCCTCCCTGTGCACCAATGATTATTCATCCCTGTGCACCACAGGGACGAATTACTTTATTACAAACCCAATTTACTTTCAAATAACTAGCACGATACTGGCTAGCTTCATTTATGTCTCATCTCGCACTATTGCACAAACGAGTCATTGCAATTTGTCTAATCTATAAATAAATTACATGAACGTTAAGGAAGGATTATATCATGTGATAAAGAAATTTATTAAATTTGTTTTCGTAACTAGCCTAGTCCAGTGGCTAGGCTTTCAATTTAGCGGTACTTTTTTGCGGCACTTTTAATTGACTATTTGCACGAGCCTTTTTATAATACAAATTGCTATTCGAGAAGAGACCATCAACAAAGCACTATTATAAACTATATATAAATGTAGTATTTTCCGCTGTAAATATGATCTTTATATTGAATATTATTTAATACAAAAAATCGGGAAATATTCGAATGTCATCAGTTGTGAGTCATGAGCAAACCGTTTAATTTCATAAACAGGATTATGAATATAAATATCCAGTACTACAGTACTGTACAGTACTCTAAAATATACAGTAATACGTCTAGTTATATATGGAATTTTATTGTATAATAGTACTACTTTTTATATGAGAATATACGTAATTTTATTATATAGTATTTGAATTTTTGAATGCATCTCGGGGGGGGGGGGGCGCTGCCCTAAAAAGGCGGGGCTGAGGTCGGGTCGTACAAGGTCACGCCTGACACTGACGACCAGTTCAGTTCGGGTCGTCAGTGTCAGGCGTGACCTTGTCAAGAGCGGAAGTGTGTCTCTCTTAATGGCTAATTCGCGGGCTTTTTTTTTTTACAACGTCGCAGCCGTGTCCTCACCTCACGCCTTTGTACCAACTTTCCATAACTATTAGTTATATATTGACAACCTTATTGTGCAGTAAGGGTTTAAGGATGGGAAGAAGGTCGGATATCTAGCAAGACTGCTTAAATGTGGTGGGTAGCAAGATGCTATACCACAGTTAAGGAAGGCCAAGTAATCTTCAAGAAGACGGTGGCTGGGATGTTGAACCTCTTCTTCGTTCTGCTAGAGCTGATCTTCAACGGAAGTCCAGTATGGAGGAAAGTTGGACACCACAGCGAAGATGCAGGCGATGAGTCACAATAACGTGACTGAAGTATGTTGACCAGACCACACACTAGAAGTTGAAGGGACGACGACGTTTCGGTCCGTCCTGGACCATTCTCAAGTCGATTGTGACAATCGACTTGAGAATGGTGAAGGACGGACCGAAACGTCGTCGTCCCTTCAACTTCTAGTGTGTGGTCTGGTCAACAAGGTAGCAAGATTGTCAGGTGTTGGGGATTGTCAGGTGTTGGGGATTGTCAGGTGTTGGGGATTGTCTGGTGTTGGGGATTGTCAGGTGTTGGGGATTGTCTGGTGTTGGGGATTGTCAGGTGTTGGGGATTATCAGGTGTTGGGGATTGTCTGGTGTTGGGGATTGTCAGGTGTTGGGGATTGTCTGGTGTTGGGGATTGTCAGGTGTTGGGGATTGTCTGGTGTTGGGGATTGTCAGGTGTTGGGGATTGTCTGGTGTTGGGGATTGTCAGGTGTTGGGGATTGTCAGGTGTTGGGGATTGTCTGGTGTTGGGGATTGTCAGGTGTTGGGGATTGTCTGGTGTTGGGGATTGTCAGGTGTTGGGGATTGTCAGGTGTTGGGGATTGTCTGGTGTTGGGGATTGTCAGGTGTTGGGGATTGTCAGGTGTCCTATATCGATAAATAGACGGTCTTCTGTTTCATGGTCGTAAGAAACAGTTATGGTATGTTTCAAGGGGGAAAGGAAGGAAACTATCAGGGAAAGCGCCAAGCCATGACGACCATATAGCACTGGGAAGGGGTCAGGATAAGAATTTGGGATGAGAAGGAATGGCGCCCAACCACTTGGACGGTCGGGGATTGAACGCCGACCTGCATGAAGCGAGACCGTCGCTCTACCGTCCAGCCCAAGTAATTGGGGGAAAAAATGGGAGACTTAACAGATAGAATGAGCAATATCTTGTTAGGCTATGGCATCAAGCCCATTCATTGTCTATCTCTCAATAGGTGGAAACGATATTTGAAAAGGTATGAGTGAGGAGTTGGACAAATAAGAACAAATCCACAAGGGCCGTGACGAGGATTCGAACCTGCGTCCGGGAGCATCCCAGACACTGCCTTAATCGACTGAGCTACGACAGGGTTAAAAGAGTTGAAACCGAAGTTCTACTGAACTTACTTTATCCCGCAGCCTCTCCGAGATCCAGTAAGTTCAGTAGAACTTCGGTTTCAACTCTTTTTTAACCCTGTCGTAGCTCAGTCGATTAAGGCAGTGTCTGGGATGCTCCCGGACGCAGGTTCGAATCCTCGTCACGGCCCTTATGGATTTGTTCATTTTAATTATCACGTTAGTGTGATTTCTGTGTGTATTGTACAAATAAGAGGTAGCGCCAGATATGATTAGGAATGAGGGAGGGGTCTTAGCTGTCAAGAGCAAGATGTGTAAATATATGACTCAAAAAGTTATAATAACTGAGGTTGATAGGATTGAACACCATACAGGCGAGGGGCGCGGGTTCATCTCTGAAGGTAGATGAATCCAAGATACTTTTGCAGACTTAGAAGAAATATTTGGCTAGTAGTATGGGTGTAAATAACGAGGAAAAGACGACTGGAAAGGAGAAAATATGTAGTTAAAAAATAAAATTTTCACTCAAACGCAGTACAAAGAAATTATTACATTAAGGCAACAGAAAAGATGTATACAAGTACTCTATACTAACTGTTAAAGTGAAGAACAAGATGGATGACCTTAGTGAACAGGTGTGTACTGAAATTCAATTCAATTCAATTTCTTTATTATGCACCCCATACCCATCCCGTGGGCGGTGGTGTAAAGGATTACAGAGGCCCATAATCGGTTCAGAACTGAACCCTCTAGTTCGTTTAGCTAAGCAAATAAAAAATTTTGACGCTAGTTACACAATTATTAATGTTATATATACATGTACACATACTCATACATACATGTACATATTTATATACATATACATATATACATACACATACATATTTAATCACCTACACATACATATTTAATCACCTACACAAATACACGCATCAATAATCTTTTGTATTACAAGTGATTCAACAAGAGGCTCACAACAGTCACTATACAAGGTACTTTACATCTATAGTGAGTCACATAGTTACTAGTCTTGCTGCACACCCACCCAACTGGGCGGCAGCTTTACAGTCATGTGCATACATTACCTACAGTAAGCAAATTTTAGATACTTCGCTAAGATTTCGGGCAGCACATCATTATGAATTACACATATAATTTAATTTCAACTCGAGGAGCCATTTAGGAATAAAAGCTCTTTCATGGTGAGAGAACGGAAAGGAAAGGAGGTGGAGTTACTATTCATGCGTGAGTGGCTCTGATGTGTAGCGTAATAGATGATTTAAATTCGGAAATTTCCACAAAAATCGTATAGGTAGAAGTGGATGAGGGAAATAAAAGCTGCTAATAATGTAATATATAAATACAGGGTCGAATCGAATCTGGCAGAGATAAAATTGCATCAATGTGTATCGTTGGAGATGTTAAATTCGGGGGAATAGACTGGACACTACAACTGGTATTTCAGAGGCAGAAAAATTCCTGGAAGTAATCGAATAATACACGTAATAACAATTTATGACTGAACGCACTAACAAAAGTTATTCTAGATTTGGTCCTGGTGAACAAAGACAATGATAAGCGTTATGTAAATAAATTTAGTACAGAGAAATTAGATGCTCTAAAAAAAAAATACAAGGTCCAGAGTTCCAAATTTTCAAAATGAAGATTCTGAGCAGTTAAGACAGGAACTCTAACAGGCTACTATTCAAAGATGGAAATTAACAGTAACCCGATAAGGGAAATTTTTATAGGTATATGGGTTAAATGGAAAATGCTTGTTATGGATCAGCAGGCCTGCAGTGGTGCACCTTAAATATTAGGTTTTACATATTGCAACAGTGCTGATTCTGTGTAATCCCACAGCACCTTCAAGCTTCTTGTCTTATATTCCTCTCGTACCTCTTATATTCCTTTTTCCTCCCTTATGCCTCCTCATTTTGTTATCTTTATTTAATAAAATACAATATTTTGTGTAATGAAATTTTAAAATAAAGTTAGATATATATACACACATACTAAAAGAATAGAGGTGGTAGAAGAAAATATCAGTGTTCAGTGAGGACCCACAAGGTCTTCTCTGAGTACTCTTTATTTTCTTCTCCGAGGCTATGGGTCCCTACACTTGCACCAGAGGTGGCACCTCTTCTAGGTATATAAATCATATATACATGAATTTACAAGGCAATACTACATTACATGTACAGCAGTATAATTCTCAGTTAACAAGTGTTTCATATTATCACAGAACATGAACTTTAAACCCCTAAATGTTATACTTATTTTTCTTTAAATGATTTACAGTTTTAAAGATTATATTTACATTAATTTACAGGGGAAATTAATAAATTTATATATATTTTATATAATTCTCAGTAAACAAATTTTCCATATCATCACCGAGCATGAGCCGTAAACCCCAAATGTTATACCTGATCCTGCCTCGCAAGAACTTCAGTATTTTGTCTACTGAGTAACCCTCCTGCCTGCCTATCCACAGACAGTAACCATCCTGCCTGCCTATCCACACACAGTAACCCTCCTGCCTGCCTATCCACACACAAAAAATGTAATCAGAAAGGAGCATAATTATTGTAATCTTAATTTTCTTGCATTTTATGTCAATTTGAAACATTAAAAACCTCACTAACTCCACTCTAATACAGTACTTGGTTCTCTTAAAATTGTAATTGTCTCTAATTCAGTTTACAAGAACAACTTTCTGCGTACAGAAATAAAATATATGCATATTATTCTCAATTTTAGTACATTGGTCACACCTATACTTGGGTTCAGTCCTTAATGCCCAACATCAAC